GTCATTCCTGGCCATTGCTCCCCGCTCCTGCGCTGCCTCCCTGTTGTGGCACAGGCAGCAGCCCGAGCAGCCGGGCAGGCTCCCCTGCCTTGCAAAGAGCCTCGTCTGTCTTCGGCATCATCTTTGCAGGTCGACAGCCCTGCGGCAGGCAAGCCGCCGAAATTTGCACAGCTCCTCAGCCCCGGTACCTTCTCCCAATGAGCAGCACTGCCGCTTATCACAAAATGAAAGCGCGGTATTTCACGTCCAGATAAATAGCTAAAAAACCCCGACTGATCCCAAAGTTCAAGAGCTTCAGCAGAGCTCTGGCATCTTTTGGTAGAAGAAAAAGCGTTATCTGGGGTCCCCGAAGTGACGGGGTCTGAGTCGGCCCAGAAACCTTACAGAAAGAGCCTTTGTTTGCAGTGCTTGCATTGCTGCTAAGGCACAGCGTATCAGCCAGGACGGCGGGGAAACCATAAACCCAGGGCGATTTCTCATGTTATGTGGGATAAATCACATGTGAACATTCATTTCCATGAGGAATTCTCTGCCCCCAGTGTAAATAAAGCCTCTGCCGATCCCCAGCTCGTCATTCCACCTGTAATAACATCTCCGGTCGTTTCCCCCTTTAAATGAACCCGGGGCTCTTTGAAAGGGTGCTATTATGTCCGTGCGGGGCAGCGAGGAGGGTGAGGAGGGCGAGGAGGGCGAGGAAGGCTGACGGGGCGGGGCTGGAGCTGCTGGCAGCCCCTCTCTGCCCTTGGCAGGGCTTCGGCTGCGCCAAGGCGCTGTACATCTCGGACGCGGACAAGCGCAAGCATTTCCGCCTGGTCCTGAAGCTCTTCTTCAGCAACGGGCAGGAGATCGGCACCTTCCACAGCAAGCTGATCAAGGTCATCTCCAAGCCCTCGCAGAAGAAGCAGTCGCTGAAGAACACGGACCGTGCGTACGGGGATGGCTCTGCGGGGAGGAAAGCGGGCGCGAGCCCAGGGTGGGATGCTCTCTGAGCGCTTGCAGCTTGGCTCCGGAGTGGTCCAGGCTGGACCCAAAGCCCACGGGCAGCCCCAAAAGAGGGGGATTGTATCTGGGCACACTGATGTGTCTTTTCTGAAGGGTTCACCCACAACAACGTGCAATGCCTTGATGCCAATGTGGTCCCCACTCTGTGGACTTTGAAAAGCCCAGCTGGGCTGGCACTCACAGAGAAAGGCAGCCAGGAGGGTGCTGGTTCCTGCTGGGCTGGTTACCAGTAACCAGGACTTGTCCTCCCTTGGCTTCACAACAGCCATAGTTCAAGCCACACGTGGACCTGGCAAGCGCTAACACAACCACCTCTCCAACAGTCTGCATCTCCTCGGGCTCCAAAGTCTCCCTCTTCAACCGCCTGCGCTCCCAGACCGTCAGCACCCGCTACCTCTCTGTCGAGGGGGGAGCCTTCATCGCCAGCGCCAGGCAGTGGGCAGCCTTCACCCTCCACCTGGGTAAGAAGCCTCGCGGGACCGCTGGCGCCGGCCATGCCCAGGGCGGGCTGCCTCCAGCCCTGGCTCTCCCCTCCTGCAAAGCCAGTTCTTGGGGGTGGAAGGGGTGGGAATTAGCCTGGGGATGCGGGAACCTGGCTCAGATCGCACCTCTGCCTGGTGTTCCTGGTGTATCTCTGGAGCCGATGGCTGTTTCCCACCGGCCTTGAGGGCTGGCATCATGCCCTGAGAGCACACAGGCTGCGAATGGGGCAGCAAGAGTTGTACTGGTTTGGAGGCTCACGAATCCACGCAAGTAACTTGCCTGGAAGGGGCCAGAGCCCAGAGCATCCCTGCCCACGCTGCCTCCGGCGGCGTCCCGGCGACATACTGCATCCCAGTCCCGCTCTCCCGTGCTAGGCTCACAGGGAGCAGTGGTCTCTCCAAGCAGCAAGCACCTGCAGAGCAGAGAAAGCAGTAAGAAAGCACTGGGAGCATGGCCAGACCTTCATGTAGCAAGGCAGTGTATGCTGACCGGCTCCCCGGCCGCTCAGGGCGGTGACTCTGCCCGTCTCCTTCCCGCAAGCCGACGAGCGCTGCACCTGGAGCGAGTTCCCCCTGCAGGAAGGGTATATCCGCTACGGCTCCGTGGTCCAGCTCGTCTGCACGGCCACCGGCGTCACCCTGCCTCCCCTGGTAAGCCTCCATCCCTGCGGGTGTCAGGCACGTGGACCTGGCTGCTCTGAGCGATGGGTACCACCCCTGGGACGATGCCGCCGCCCCGCAGATCATCCGGAAGGTGACGAAGCAGTACGCCATGCTGGATGTGGATGAGCCCATCTCCCAGCTCCACAAATGCGCCTTCCAGTTCCAGGGCAGCGACCGCATGTACCTGTGTCTCTCCACAGAGAAAGTGATCCAGTTCCAGGTACAGCAGCGTGAGGAGGAGTGAGGACTCCTGGGGTCCTCCCCGTCCTCTCTCCAAGCTCCTCGGTGTTGCCAGTGTCTGGGGAACATGTCACCGGGAGGGGTCTTCCAGCGAAGGGGGGTTTTGTCCAAATTAAGGTCAGAATCACTGCAAAGCCATCTGCCTCTGGCTTGCCTACTTTGGTGGGGACATCGTCACCAAGGTCTTTGCAAAGGCATCATGATCTCCGTTTCCCAGTGAGTGAAGTGGAGGCACTGAGTCACTTGCTGGAACTGAGATATCGTGGGTAGAAGCCAGGCGTCCTGGCCCCGGTCCCCTGCTGTCCTCGCTGCGGCGTGTCTGGAGCTGTGACACTCTCCGCAGGCATCTCCCTGCCCGAAGGAAGCCAACCGGGAGCTGCTGAACGACGGCTCCTGCTGGACCATCATCGGCACTGAGACAGTGGAGTACACCTTCAGTGAGAGCCTGGCCTGCGTCCGCGAGCCCGTCAGCCCCGTGCCACTCATCACTGCCCTGCAGGTAGGCACAGTGCTGGCCGCCAGCCACCCCGGCCTTTCCATCACCTGCCTCTGTTGCGGCTCCTGCTGCTGAGGCCTTGCACCCATGCTCGGTGACTCCCAGTTTTGGGATGGTGTGGGAATGCCCGGGTCTGGACTGCTGCGATGGGGATGGGACACCCGGGCAGAGCATCCTGCGGGAGGAGTCTGGCTCATTCCACCGCGTAACACTGCCGCACGGTCTGCCCGTCACAGCTCACGGGCGGCGGGGACGTGGCCATGCTGGAGGTGCAGGGGGAATATTTCCACGCACACCTCAAGGTCTGGTTCGGAGATGTGGAAGCAGAGACGATGTACAGGTAACGCGGCTGAGGGGGCCGGGGAGCAGGCAGGGAATGGCAATTGGGTTTGGGCAGCGCTGGGAGGGACGTGGCTGCCGACCTTGGGGACAGGGGCACTTGCGCTGCCCATTCTGCGGGACCAAGCATGAGCATTGCAAGGAGAGGCAGTGCCTGCTGGCTCTGGACACAGTATGGGGATAGCAGTGGGTGAGGGACATGGGGACCTTGGGGGCTGCAAACAAGCAAGCAACCCTGGCAGGGAGGAGCAAAACACTGGGGAGGAGAGGGGAAACCAGCTGGAGGCTGCACGCTGAGCTCCGGGCTGGAGGAGACGTGTCGGCACTCACCGCCAGCCGCTCCTGTGCCAGGCCCCCCGGGCTGATCCATGTTTTCCTCTCCTGCGCTGTTCCCAGGAGCCCCAAGTCCCTCATGTGCGTCGTCCCTGACATCTCTGCCTTCGGCAGTGACTGGAGGTGGCTGCGATACCCCATCACGGTCCCGCTCCTGCTGATCAGGGACGATGGCCTCATCTACTCCAGCTCTTTCACGTTCACCTACACCCCAGAGCAGAGCTTCATCCCAGGGCAGCAGGTCCTCTCGGATGTCCCCCAGGACTCAGACAAATTACTTGACAGCATCCATCAGGAGTTCACCAGGACCAACTTCCACCTCTTCATGCAGAGCTAGCAAGCGGGGTGGGCAGAGGCTCGGCCTCGCCACTGGCCCTGGGGAAGGGGAGCAGCCCGGAGCCATGCCGGGGTCCCCATCCAGGGCTCAGGGTGGCCCTGCCGGAGGGTCCTCCCCATGCATCAGACGCCCACCGTGTTACTGTGATTTGCTGACTTGTCTCTTCCTCATGGCAGCATCTCACCCTGCTGTGATCTCCCATGAGAAGGTCAATAAATCAGGCTTCAAGGACTCTTTACTGATTCCATTGCTTCTTTACTAACCTTCACGATTTACCTCCTGTGCTGGCACAGAGCGTTCCAGCTCCCTTGATGTCTTCAGTCCATATATTCAAAGGCCAGGAGGGACAGGGATGATGAGCGAATGTGACCTTAAGTGTTATTGATCTATACCAGGAATCCCTGCATCGCTTCTGTGCTTTTCAGTAACCGGGAGCTGGTTTCCAGCAGCCAAATACTCGGTACCAGATGTTTGTTTTCTTTTTTTTTTTTTATTAGAGGCCCAACTGGGGTTATTTCAAAAGGAAAAGGGGAAAAGAGAGAAAGAAAAACTTCAGGATGAAACCCAGCCCCTTCCTAGCTGGCGTGGCTCTGCCACGCTGTGTTGTTTCACCCACTCACCCAAACGCACCCAGAGAAACTGCAGTGCTGGCATCAGCAGGGAACTGCTGGTCGGAAGATGCCATAAAAAGAAGCAAGGTTTCTTGGAGTCAGACCCGAGCGTTACGCAGAGCGGGTCTTACAGCTTTATTTAGTCTTCAGGTCTCCGTGGCATCAAAAGGCCCATGCTGTACCTGAAAACCTGCTGGTTTGGCAGTTCTGAGCTGGGCTTTGAAACAACCCAGCTGCCAAACCCATGGAGGTGCTTAACCCACCCTGAGCTGGGTGGCAGCGGGCAGGGGAGCAGGGGAAGCATGGTGCCCCACGACCCACAGCGCCCCAGGACACCCGGCCCTGCACACAGGCATCCCTGGCTCACCGCCCGGCTTACCTCCCTGTTTTGTGCCATCCAGCGTGTTTTGGACACCAGCACTGCACAGACCGACAGCCCCGGCATGCAGCCCCTCCTCGGCCTCGCCGTGAGCATCCCTGCCACGCTGCAGCTCAGGATGCTGAATTCGGGGCTGCAGGGGACCGACAGCCTCGCACCACCCAGTGTGGAGATGCATGGTGGTGCCTGGTGTCTTGGCCTCCTCCTTCTACAGCCTGTGCATGGCCCCAGCTCCCATGGGACCACAAGAGCTTGGGTCTCCAGTGCCCTAACTCAGGGCTTCCCAGGGAGCAGCACCTCCCTAAACCCCACGAGGAGCTGGGGTTCCTTCTTCCCCAAAGCAGGAACCTCACAGAGGGTGAAAAGCTGTTGGCAGACACATCCGTGTGCATCTGGAGCTGCAGCTGCTGGAGGAAAAACTCAGGGAGAACATTACAGCGCGTGCCAAGCACCAAGGGCTGGTGGAGGAAAGGGCTGGAGGACAGAGGAAGGGTAACCACGCGAAGGTCCGCAGGGGGGTTCAAAAAAGGGCAGCACGTCCCTCGAGCAGGAGGCAGGTCCCCGTGCACTCCTTAGGCGTCGGGAGCAGCGGTACGAGACCTCACTGCTCCCCTTCCTGGCAAATGCTCGAGCATCTTATAGAGGCGATGGGGGCAGCGGGGGCTTCCCCTGCGCGACAGCCACCTGGGCCACCCCATCAGCCCATGCTTACCATCCCCTATGCTTGCCTCCCCGGCAAGTCCACCCCAGCCCTAGTGTAAGCGAGGATGACATGCAAGAAAAAGCTTTTAATCAACCTGAACAGAGGATCCCTCATATCTCCCCCAAAAGCATCCCCCCCATCTCATTGGGAAAGGGCGGAGGGCAGTGAAAGGATGGGGCCAAGCCTTTCAGTTTCTGCCTGCATCCCACGCAAGCATGTCTGGAGCCCAGGGGCTCCTCAACCCGCTCCCCGTCCTCGGAGGCCGGGGCATAATTCACATTTTATGAATGGAAAGCGCCCTCGGCTATATTTAGCAGCAGCCTGGTCCCGAAGGGCAGGAGGAGCATTGCTTATTGACTTCAAGGGCTTGGAACAAGCCTGCCTTGTTATATTTACAGCACAGCGTTTTGCTGGAGAGGCCGAGAAAGCACCGAGTGGCTCATTCTTGAAGCCTGATGGATTAAGCAAACAGCCACAGTAATTCAAGCCACATGGGGGAAG